GCCTGCATTGACACCATTATATGAGAACTGAACTGAGCGTGACGATGACATCACAGTTTTCTCCAGAGCGGCTGTATATATAAATAAACTAAATTAATAACTTTTTTACAACAAAAATGAAACATCACAGAACTTACTTAAGCTGGACTGTGATGCTATTTTCTTCTGGAAACAAACTTTGTTGCATTGTTTTCCTGTTCTCTCTGTAAAGCTGCTTTGAAACAATCTGTATTGTAAGCGCTATATAAATAAATGTGACTTGACAAGTTTCATTACAATAGGCTAATGTATTCAACCGTTATTAGCGTTTTTGGAAAATTCATTATAACTTTTGACGACAAGGGAGCGCTGTCTCGAAACCTTTTGAGAACCTTCAGGGCATGGTGCTGATGGCACATACCGAGTTTCGTAATGTTACACCAATGTATTCGTAAAGTATAGCATTTTATATCATTATATTGTAATGAAGTTAATGGCAATTTCAGGTTTTGTTCTATTATAGCGCCACCAAGAGGCACAATCCCACCATTTTTTCATATGTCCTCAGAGTGAGCCCATACATATGTGTCAAATTTAGTGAAAATATTTCATTTTGTTTTGGAGTTATATACATTTATATGTATAAACACATAAAAAATGACCCACACCTGACTTTGTTTGCATTTTCTTGCCACTAACTATTAATATTTTGACATTTGGCCATTAGCATTTAGCCAACGAACTTCCTACGGTGGTTTTGTCTCGATCGGCCTAACGGTTTCAAAGATATTGGCAAATGTTTTTTAAGCGCTAAATCACAACGCTACACAAACCATAAGGCGAAACCTAGCATGTTTGGTATCGTTGGACTCGGCAATGATTCAGGAACCTAAGGAGATGAATGAATGAGGCATTTATATAGCGCTTTTCATATGTACTACTGTACACCCAAAGAGCTTTACAATCACATCAGGGAATCTCTCCTCAACCACCACCAGTGTACAGCTTCCACTTGGATGATGCGACGGCAGCCACCGTACAACGGCGCCAGTGCGCTCACCACACCAGCTACAGGTGGAGAGGAGAGAGAGTGATAGAGCCAATTCAGTGGATGGGGATTATTAGGAGGCCATGACTGGCAAGGGCCAATGGGTGGAATGTGGCCAGGGCACCGGGGTTACACCGCTACTCTTTTATGAGAAGTGGCATGGGATTTTTAATGACCACAGAGAGTCAGGACCTCGTTTTTACGTCTCATCCGAAGGACGGAATGAGACGTAAAACACCCGAGATGACATCCGTGAAAATAAGTCAACCACATATAAGCTTATAAGCGTTTGAAATTTTTATTTTACCACTAGGTGGCGCTGGTTCAAAACTTCTCAGGTTCCTTCAGGGCATCTTACTGATGACCCATACCGAGTTACGTAACGATACGTTCATGCGTTCATAAAATAAAGCATTTTGGTACAAAAGTCAAAATGGCCGACACCTAAAATAGTCGATAAGGAAAAATTGGATATCGGATGACTCGGCATGATGCCCTGAATCTAACGAGACCACTTTTATGATTTTAAGTCAAACCGTTCAGAAGTTATAACAGGGTTCTCACACCTTGGTTAACTTAAAATTCAAGGACCTTTCCAGGTCCAATACCCTCAAATTCAATGACTTAATGTGGGGACACATTTCAAGTGAGAGTAAGGTTACATCGTGTTACCTTGTAAGATACATTGTAACAGTTTTCTTCTGTCAAACAACTATGGAAAAAAAGCTTCTTTTTTTTGCATTTATTTTTGGCCATATGACAGAGATCTTATATTCTATTTGTCGTATTTATGTTTTGCATAAAACTGAAGAATATTCGGTCCATCCTACAAAAAATAATAACGATAATATTCAATTAAAATATTAAATTAAATAAAAATGTGTCAAGGTCTTGGAACTGATTATTTCAACATAACAACAATAAACCACGAGAAAACACATTAATTTACATTAATTATTTTATTTATTTCTACATATAACACTCTTCAGTATATGTTGGTGTGCCTTAATAATGTAGTCATCATTTAAGTACTAAACCAGCAGCCATATCACCCTGTAGCCCAAGACTGGTTGCCCACTGAAGCTAAGCAGGGCTGAGCCTGGTTAGTACCTGGATGGGAGACCTTCTGAGAAAACCAGGGGTGTTAGTGAGGCCAGCAGGGGTGCTATCCCTGTGGTCTGTGTGGGTCCTAACGCCCCAGTATAGTGACGGGGACACTATACTGTCAATTGAGCACCGTCCTTCGGATGAGACGTTAAACCGAGGTCCTGACTCTCTGTGGTCACAAAAAATCCCAGGATGTCTTTCGAAAAGAGTAGGGGTGTAACCCCGGCATCCTGGCCAAATTTGCCCAGTGGCCTCTGTCCATCATGGCCTCCTAATCATCCCCATATATATATATATATATATATATATATATATATATATACCAATTGGCTTGATCACTCTGTCTCCTCTCCACCAGTAAGCTGGTGTGTGGTGGGTGTTCTGGCGCACTATGGCTGCCGTCGCATCATCCAGGTGGATGCTGCACATTGGTGGTGGTTGAGGAGATTCCCCCTTCTATGTGAAGCGCTTTGAGTGTCCAGAAAAGCGCTATATAAATGTGATGAATTATTATTATTATTAAATAAATGCTTATGTAAATATTTGATGCATTGATTTGATACGGGACGCATCATTTTACCTTTAAATACAGGACAAAAAATGAATAAAAATAAAAATTCTTTGTAATCTTCTTTGGTGAGCCAAATACTTTGAAACTTGCATTTTACAGTCATCACATTTCAGCGGTTTCAGCCTATTTTTGCAATGTTTCACGGTGTGTCTGTGAAATGTTGAGGTACCATATTTTAGTTAGTATAGTTTGGTGCGTATGTGAACGTTATGGCAACGTACAACACAAAGTACCTAACGCGGGAAACACATAATGTAACGCGTAACTAACGTATATACTAACTAAATAAATAAATCAAGCAAGCTAGTATAGACTATGAAGTGTTGGTGAAATAACACATTAGCGGACCGGAGAGAATAATATGGATTTTTTTCCAGAGAATTTATTGCACATAATAAATTCAAGCACTTTCAAGGACCTGTATCTATGCATGTTTATTTTCAAGAACTTTCCGGGGCCTTGAATTTTTTTTTAGATCTACAAACTTTCAAGGATTTCAAGGACCCGTGGGAACCCTGTTATAAGCAAAAATATAAAATTTTTCTTGTATCTCCGGACCAGTAAGTGGCGCTGCGCCGAAACGCTGCAAGTAGCCTCAGGTCATGCTTGTGATGACGTACCAAATTTTATCTGAATACGATAAAGCGTTGCGGAGATACAGCCTTATGTCTGTTTTCGCAAACGCCACGTAAAATTTGTTTGCGCGGTATTCGAGAACGGTTTGACGAATCGACATGAATTCCATAACTTTTTGTCGGCATGGACTGAAGATGATCTGATTAAATTTTCCTGAAAATCGGAGCAACCTTCTAGGACGAGTTTGAGAAAGTAGGTTTTGTGGCGGAAAGATTTACGGAAAGATTTTTGCTACTGGCTGTGGCGAGCAGGACGAGGCCGAGGGCCGCGAGAGAGCGGCGCGAGGCCGGTGGCGTGATTACTGATGAGCGACACCTGCACGACGCACCGGTCTTGTATCTCTCACGGAGGAGCAGAACCATAAAAGGAGGAGCGACGACAGTGGAGATGGAGAGAGGAACAGGCCTGATTTTATGTTGTGTTTTGTTTGGCCAGCAGTTGTCCGCTAGGGGCTCCTGGCTTATACATTCATTTTGTAATTGTTTTATTTTATGTTATTAATAAAAAAAAAATGTTGAACGTTCGCCGGTTCCCGCCTCCTTCTTCCCATAACATCTGAACCTCGTTACACTGGTGCCGAAACCCGGGAAGAAGGAGGCTGGTAATCACGCCACCGGCCTCGCGGCGCTCTCTCACGGCCCTCGGCATCGTCCTGCTCGCCACACTGGCCCTTACGGTTCAAAATTTATAAGCATAAACACGAGTGAAACTTTGGACAGTTGGTGGCACTAGAGGGATTGAGTTAGAGACTCCAAAACTGCTATGGTGACTGTTCAGACTCCTCTATCAGTGTGCCAAATTTCATAACTTTCCCGCAAGCGAATCTATGGGCTACCATAGACTTCCTGAGAAGAAGAAGAAACGGAAGAATAATAATAATAAGAACGCCAACGATTTCAAGAGGTGCCTACGCACTTTCAGTGCTTGGTTTCACCAGCCTGGGGAAATAACTCTTTGGTGGACGCATGGCCTAAGTGTAGGTGGGGCCTATGGTGCAATGATGTTTAACTATTCGTTGATGTCCTTGCTCTGGAGGAAGTCATATGCAAATGTATTTGCCCGTGTGACATCACAAATTCCACAATATCAAAACGATCCATTTTTGGAGCTTGATTAAATAAATGCTTTGTTTATAATGAGGACGATGTTTTAAACTGAAACTTGCAGGGTGTTTTAATGGTACAGACATCTTATATGCCAAAGGATCAAGGCAAATTTTGATTTCTCAAGTCACGACCCCTTTAAACTGTCCATTTAAAAGCACAAATCAAGTGATTCAATGGCATCTGAATATGAGATGTTTATGAGTTAGTGGGGAAGCTGTAAAGTTATGTGCCTTATAATGATTGAAATAAAATACTAGAATCAGTTCATTAGCTTACAATAGTATATGCATACCTGCTTAAACTCAACAAAAATGTGGGTAGGACTGACTAAAAAAACTGGCATGCTTTAAAGATGACAAAGTAATATGTGGTCAATTACTGTGGAATTCCCCTGTAGAGAAACATTCTACGAAAAACAATAGATCAAAGTTGAATCTAAAAACTAAGGACTAAATTGTTCTGAGTCAGTGCTGTCTAAACTTAATCCAAATACATAAGTGACTTTTCAAAGAATAAAACAGGCTCCAAATAAAAAGATGACAAAGTCAAAAGATTTATTTTTCTACACACCTCTTTATTACTATTTTAACACGTTTTTTAAAAACAGATTATTAATAAAATTCGTATTTTTAAGTGCAATTTTGTGAAATTCAGTTGGTTGGCTAAAAACATTACATTACAATTTAAAATCATATGAAAATATTATTTCCCTATTCTTTGCATTAGGGAAGAGGTGCATTCATCAGTGTTAATGCAAATTATAGATGGCCCTGAGTGGGAGGTCTGTTACTGGACATGGGAATATAATCTTCTAATCTGTTTCTGCATTGTTTAGTTAGTTTTTAAAACCAGATTTAACTTTAGTTGTGTCATTTAATGGTGGTTTTGTAATGTTACTAATGTTGGCACAGCTGTTGTCAATGTCTTCATATGAATAACAGAAACATTCAGACACATCCCACTGTAATATTGAAATAAATGACGTACCCTGTTGCAAAGTGAGGTATAACAGCTGAAGAATAGAGAAAATGACTTGGATGTGAGAGTAATACAGTCATGTGTTCTACGTGATAACACTATGATGCCAAGCGTTGTGTGCTGTGTAGCTTTAATTCCAAAAGGCTCCAAAGTGTAAGTGGCGAATCTGTTCTTCTACCCCGAACACTCTGCTTTAGACTGAAACGAATAGCTATTTGCTATGGTGGTAAAACCTCTGCCCTGATTGGCTGTGAGAGAGGTAGGTGTGGCGAGTGGTTGGTTGAGAAGAGCTTTGAAATGTAGCCTGTACAACAGAATGAGAAAAAAATAATAATGTCACTTTCCTGATACAGATCTTAATCAGGCACTATATGATTAAAGCCTATTGAATCTTGAAAGCCACTTGAATCTTTTTTATCAAGTAATATAGACACTACCGTTCAAAAGTGTGGGGTTGGAAAGATATTTAATGTTTTGAAAGTAGTCTCTTATGCTCACAAAGGCTGCATTTACTAGATTAAAATACAGTTTTGTGAATATTGTGAAATATCATTACAATTTAAAATAACTGCTTTCTATTTAAATATATAAAATCTATTCCTGTAATGGCAAACTAAAGATGAATATTCAGCATCATTACTCCAGTCTTCAGTGTCACATGATTCTTCAGAAATCATTCATTTTGAAAACAGTAGTGCTGCTTAATATTTTTGAGTGGAAACCATGATATACCTTTTTCAGGATTCTTTGATGAATTAGAAGTTCATAAGAACAGCATTTATTTAAAACAGAAATCTTTTGGAACAATGTAAAAGTCTTTAAGGTCACTTAATTTAATGCATCCATGCTGAATAAAAAACTCCAAACTTTTGAACAGTAGTGTATAAACGTCCATACATGCTATTAATAAAACAGTATACTTAGTTTGGACAGAACTCACTGCATGTGCTTGTTGTGAGGGCGTTCCATGCGTGAATGCACCTGGGGAAGCTGCCCTTGGTGGATGTGCATATGATAATCCAGACTGTCCAAAGAAACAAGCAAGACATTTATGCCCAGAGAACAACAAGAGCAGTAAAATTCAACTATTTAAGGATGAATATCTGCGATAATGCAGCAGGTTACAATGCTGTGTTAACAGAGATTTAATTAGTTTGTTTTGGCTCTGACCTTTGGCTGGACAGCAATAGAGGGAGTGGGCAGCAAACCTGCAGCACTGACATGTAGAGCCTGTGGATGCATGGGCCTCAGTGAACTCTGAAAAACACAAATATGAGTTACACGACACTCAGCTGACCATCCTTTTCTAGTTAAAGGGATACTTCACCTCTGGGAAGATGAATGTGTATTTAATATTGGTCATTTATATAGTAGAAATGTGAAATTATTTTTGAAATTGAAGCATTCTAGACTAAGAAAAGGCAGACATTTTTTTACTCATGTGGCTGAAAGACAACAACTCCCAGAATGCACTTGCTTTGCTGCCCTTATGAGGCCACTCCCAAACCACGCCTACCGGTTACAGGCGGCAGAATCCGAAAAATGGATACAACTAGGCTTGCTTTGATACATCGTGAGTTATTTGATAAATTTCCATCGAAATGGTACTAAATTGCGTTGTGCCGGGATGTACTAGCCTAATGTATATAACACAACTAAGACTTTCACATTAAAAATATGATGCAAGGCAGGACCATGTCAACAGAGTAGTTTAGTAGCTCTTCATATGAACTGTTTTCCTCCAATTGAAATCACTATTTCTCTAAGCTAATACATTATCTAGGCTAATCCATACTCTAGTAACACTAAAGGTTTATAAAAAGAACCACAACCAATGTGAGTTATAACTTTTAATTAAAAAAATAATTAATATTAACACTTTTACACTCAAAGCTCTGCGGATTCAGCGATCTCATCCAGAAGAAAATGGCATCGCTGAGATTCGTGACAGCAATAGGACTCTATATCTGTTTCCATAGGCGCACAGCGAGAGCACTGACACCGCCAGTCCGCCCCAGCTCGAGTCTGGCCGGGCTCAGGTCTCGCTCTGGCCGCCTCTTGTTCCTCCATCTCCCGCAACTGTTTATCGCTGTATTGCGGCACGCACAGGTAGCCGCGACCATCAGATTCTCGCAACAGATCTTCGAAATCCCCTTCTGCCATTTCAACTTGTAAACTACCTTCCGCTATCGTGATTAGCCTACTATACAAACTTTCTACACAGACCAAGAGGCAAGAGCCTGTTAACTTAGCTTCTACAGAAAGATGGCTGACACTATCTTTACATTCTGTGAGTGAGATCCCGCCCCATATGGGCGTGGTGAAAGCATGCGGAACACTGGCTGTAGTCTTTAGCCTCTGGCACAAAAATCCTCCGATGACGAAAAATGACGATTTTTTCGGGGGGAGCACGGTAATTCGAAAATACTACTGGTTTTCTACTGATACAAAGCTTAATGCTAAATCCTGAAGTATCCCTTTAAGTGGGTGTACTTCCAACCCAACTTACAGAGTCTGTGAAGCCGGACTGCTGGTTGGCATGTTCCAGCTGTTTTTGCAGGGGAATCCCAGCACTGGGGATGTAACCTAGAGAGAAGGATGGAATACAGAAAGAGTGTGAACATGTCTGCCAAGAAGATGGAGGAAATTTTAACATTTGTGTGTCAAAGGCCCTGTTCCAAAACTCACTGAGCTGCCTTTGGGGGTCAGAATGATTTTTTATAAAGAAATTAATACTCCAATTCAGCAAGGATGCATTAAATTGATCAAAAGACACAGTAAAGACATTTATAAGGTTACAAAAGCTTTTTATTTCAAATAAAGGCCATTTAAAAAAACAAACACTTTATATTCATCCTTAAGCAGGAATATCATATACAAAATATGAATGTTTCATGTTTATTTAATGCAATACTAATGTTTCTTAAGCACCAAATCAGCATATTAGAATAATTTCTGAAGGATCATGTGACACTAAAGACTGCCCTAATGGCTGCAGAAAATTTAGCTTTGCCATTACAGGAAGAAAACAGTAATAGTATTTCATAATGTTATAGATTTTAACCAAACAAATGCAGCCTTGGTGGGCATAAGAGATTTCTTTCAACAACATTAAAACCAACCCAACCCCAAACTTTTAAATGGTAGTGTAGGTACAGTACCGTCCTTCCGAGTAACTGATTTGAAACACTTTTTATGCGCAGCAACATTGATGATTAAAAATCGCCATACAAATATATACTATTTCATTATAAAAGTATGCTATAGGGAAATTAAGTCAATCACACACGCATTACACACACCTGGCTGCGAGGTGAAGTGACTGTGGACAGCATAGCCCTGCTGCTGATGTGGCAGGTACTGCATGGCCTGGAAAGCTGATGCACCTGGAAACAGAAAAAGATAACATCAAAACAACACATCACAAATTTACACAAGAAAAAGAACATAAGAACCTTTGAATTAATGAATGAAGCACTTTTATATAGCGAATGTTTAGATACTACTGTACAGTCAAAGCGCTAAGCAATGGGATCAGGGTCTCTGGTCAACCACACCCAGTGTACCGCATTCACCCAGGGTGTGTTTCCCAAAAGCACTGTTAGCCAACTATGGTCGCAAGTCCCATTGAGCTCTGTTGGTAATGACGGAACTTGAGACCTAGTTGCTTGGAAGAGGACAGTGATAGAGACAATTACACCCCTACTCTTTACAAGAAGTCATGGTAGTTTCTTTTATGACCACAGAGAGTCAGGATGAGTCTGAGTCTTACAAGCAAATAATCAAACATACCCATATCTCCAAACATAAGCACTGAGGGATCATTAAAACAAGGTACCTCTAAGTTGTGAACCACTGGCATAGTTGGCTGGCACTGGCTGACTGGAGGCAAAAGGTGATGTATGCTGTTGCTGAGTGACTCCATACGGGCTGTGACTCGCCTGAGCTCCGGAGTACTGGCCATGCTCTGCCCCACCGGTACTAAATGCCGGCTGAGACTGGAAATGACGCGACTGTGGCGGTGGCAAGCAGCCAATAACATTTTCAATTAACACAAGCACAGACAGCAAAATATACTAAACAAATGTGAGTAGTAACTTAACCATGTGTCCCTCACCATTAAAAAGTGTTGCTTTGTTTTATAGATTGATTTACATTAAACTGTCACACTCACAGGAATGACTGGAGACTGGAAGAGCTGTTTACTGCGTTCCCCAAGAAGAGCACCTGGGCGCCCATGACTCACCTGACCCGCTGATAGAAACAAGCGGTAGAGCAAAATAAAGTAATTACTGTAGGGCAATTATAACAAAAAAAAAAAAAGCATCAAGTCTAAATGACATTCACAACTTTATACTTCTGACATTCACAACTTTATACTTCTGACATTCACAACTTTATAATGCCTAAAAATGCCAAATAGTGGTCACCTTGCATGCTAAGAAGGTGCTGTCCATGGTGGAGGGCCATGTTTGGCTGGTATGTTGCTGAAGTCAGAGTTGTCATGTCACTGTGAACATAAAATAATTCTAGTTGTAAACTGAATAACAGACGTGTCATTTGCTAAATCTGACAGCTTTGGATAATAATGTTTTTTCCCCCACCTTTTTGTGGGAAATTTTCAGTTTTTTTAATTTTGCCATTTCTTTCAGTAGCCATTATTCCAGTCTTTGGTGTCACGTAATCCTTCAGAATTTTTATTAATATGCTGATTTGGAGCTCAATTTCTTTCTTATTAATGCTTAATATTTTTAAGCTTTTAAAAAATATAATATTTTTTCAAGATTCTTTGCTAAATTTAAAAAGAACAGCATTTATTTGATATAGAAAAATACTGACATTTTTGATCAGTTTAATGCAACCTTGCTGAATAAAAGTCTTATTTTCTTTCTTTAAAAAAAAAAACTAAAAAAACTTACTCTTTCCCGTACCTCTGTTCTTTCCGTCGTCTTTTCTCCTCCTCATGTAGGACTTTCTTCAGCTGTAGGAAAAGCTGGTGCTTCTCCTCTTGAAGACCTTGTAGCTTCACTCCCATCTTCATAATCTGAAGACAGAGAGAGGGAGTAAAAATATTGGTCAGGAGTCCTGTGCAATAACACCTGCATCTTTTTGTAAATAATACAAGTTTTAGAATGTGGCAATCATACAGACTTACCTGCTCTTTAGTCTCCTCTAAGGACATCCTCTCCTCCATCTCTTTCTTCCTCTTCCTCTCTTCCTCTTCTTTTAGTTTCTGCTCCATCATTTTGTCAACCTCTTCCTCCTCTGAGATAAACAATGGACAACTGATCACAAAGTTACTTATTAGAAAAGACTTCAAAAGTAGCTACATGCAGTCTAGTCATGCACATCACCAACAACCCTAAAATTCACACAAAGCACCAGAATGCAACATGAACATGGGAATTATTTTATTTATTTGTAGTAAAAATAATATGCAGGATATTCCAGGGCTTACCTTGCCTCTTCCGCTCCCTCTCTCTCATAATGTGCTTGTGTAAGGCACGTGCCATGGCATTAGACAGTTTGGGCCTCTCGAGAAGAGCCGGCATTATGGTAGGGATTGGTGGTGCCAGCTGGAGTAGAGATGTCACGTAAAAAAATGTTACACAGATCATGATGACATGATCTGCATTTTCTGTCACTAATAAGTCCACTAAGATTAAATTTAATTTATTCGTGGCCTTTCCACAGCAAGAACAGTGAAGAGTGAGAAACAATTAAAGAACTGAAAGTCTGAAGATTTTTTACCTTGTTAATCAATAACATGTTAAAAACATAACAGAACCAATAACATTCTTATTATTTCTGTGCAGCACAATTTAAAAATTTCACAGAGGTTCAGGATGACACATCACAAACACAAACTAAGGCAGCAGTCAAAAAAGTTGACAAGCCTTGCTTACGTTGTATAAACCAACTTACCATATCAATTCTAAAAACCAAAGACTACGAGTTAGAGCAAAATATAAACTAGAAGAAAGAGATGTGGTAATCTGAAAAGCAATAGAAGGCAGTAAATGAGCAAACTCCCTGCACCGGGTTAGCTCTATAATGACTTGACAAGCTAGCTGGCTATGCTTGCAGTAACCTGAATGTTTTGACGGGCTATTCAGTTAATCTGTCCAAGAAAATCACCTTTCATAAGCATGATTTTATAGACGAAAGTGATTTCAATGTTTTCTTTTTCCAGTGCGTTGCATTAACACCTGACCATTAGGCTAGCAGGCTAACGGCTCAAGTGACAGCTTAGGCAGCTAGCTTGCAAAATCAGCGAACTAAATACAACTCTTGCAGTGAAATTCGTGGAATCTTCATGTAACGCACTTTTGTCCGTTTCTGAGATTAAAAGTATGCTGAGCTTGTCTGAAGGCTTTCCTTTCAAGAAAAATAAACAAGTGTATCAGTAATGAACCAAAATAAAAATGACAGGAAACCCAGTTTGGCGCACTTCCTCTGTGGGTGTGTCTTGATGACGGCAAGTGTGAACGAACACCTATGCGTGAACAGAACTGAAGAGGCTGCTCGCTGCAGAACCATGGGTGGAGCGTGAAATCTAGCTCCTCCTCTCTGGACGGCTAGCTCCCCCTCTCTTAATGTAATTTGCGCATAATGGGTGGAGCTAGAAGGTCCAACCCTACCTATAACTCTATGCCTCCACCCATTAGATCCACAGAGGTGGAGTTGGACGTCTTTGGCTGGACTAGGTCAGAGGTCAAGCTCAACCTCAACCCATGACGTGCAGAGAAGGGGAACTGGGCGTCATTAAGCTCTGCAGTGAGCGTGAGCACCACTTGAAAATGAAACGAACGGCATGTTTTCATTATGCCCAGCTTTCAACTATGTTTTAAAATTGTTTTATTCGTGGGTTATTTTCACTTACTACATGTATTATAAGGAATATAATTTAATTAATCTTCTACGTCTATTAGCTAAATTTAGTATACATAAATGTATATATGTGTGAAGCAAGACCTAAATTGGAAGGAAGTTCAGCAATACCTTAATACAAAAATATTACGTTTAGAAAAATTTGAAACCTGTTAAATGTGTTAATATCTGTGAACAATTTAATGTTTGATTGAACTTTGTGATGTTTTATTTGTCTTTTTCTTTCTTTCTGTTTATCCTAATGTACCCTAGGCTGTATTTGTAAATCTTTAAAACCAATTAAAAAATGGCAGTATCTTACAAGTAATTTGTTGCATGGCCGTCTTATCTCATGTTGTTAATAACTTATAAGGCTTCTCTTCGGGTATTAATTATAATCAATACTTCATGAAATAAAAACATTTAAATTACGGGAGACCTGCAAAATCATGGGCACTATTGAGCAGGATCACAACGCACTTGACTTTTTGATATTCATATCCGTAATTTGTTGTAATACGTACTATCTATAAATAAACACGAGCAACAGATATTCTCAGATCTGTGAGAAAAGTACAAGTCGAGATCCATTAAAGACTCACACAGGCAGATTTTTACATCAGGTTTATAATGGTGGCAAGTTTCAGATGGAGCTTTTAGGGGAAAAGGAACAAAACACACCAATCCATAATAAAAATAAGCCCCCCGAAAAAACAATCAAGTCATAAACTTTAACCTTTATAATGATAACGGTACAACTGAGAAATAAACAAGCAGTCTCCTACAATATGACAACTGAAAACAAACTTTTTAATCTTTTAACCAATTTATTCAAATAAACAGCAATCCAAACCCATTGAAAAATAATAATTGGCAATGATACACAAACACACTCACACACATAACATGGTATGATAGTCCAGTATTATCAGTGATTTTGGTCTGTGCAAACATGGTAGCTAAAAACAAAATCAAACCAAACATTAAAGACTGCAAAGTGACTTCAGGATGCATGTTGGTGCCAAAGGAAAGTGACAAAAGTTGAAAGGAGAAGTGTAGAACATTGAAAAAGCTATTACGGATATGAGTACCACTAATTTACTGAAACAGACCAGGACAAAGTATCAGGCCTAAAAGCAAGAATGAGGGCGGAACTCTTAGGTAGGAAGGAACAATATGCAGGCAGCTTAACAAGATTTCATAAACAGAAAAGGAGGAGGATATGAAAGTGCATTTAACATGTACACTTTGTGTGGCCTAACGTATTGATCATTTAATTTTAAAGAGGGGTATTGTGGGGCAAGTAAATTCATTACACATCTCTCAAAACGTCCCCATAGACGCTTTCATCACTGTAGGCAATGTAAAGCAGGGTTCCTGCACACTTTTGAAAGTCAAATTTAAGGCTTTTTAAGACCTTTTTAAGACCTGAAGAAATCAAAATTAATACCGTACATTAGGGCTGTGCAGTATTGACAAAAATATATCTTGATATTTTCAACGTTTTGTTGATAATAATTAGATGATATTTTACTGATTGTGTTTTTGTGCTGGTGCCATGGCTGGTTTAGGTCTGTTGTTGACAGCTGACTCACGAAGATATTCATATTTTTCATATTCTATGCAGTGGTCAGTTCACAGCAGTGACAGAAATTAATATTTTAATTAAGGGGCAATATTTGCCACCTTAAATTGATTTTTTTCAGGGGCATTTTCACCTATATATGGACATTTTTTCTAAACTTATTTAGAGTTATGCATCACCTTTAATGTCAAATACTATCATTCAAATTAAATTATACAGTAATTATACAATAATACTTAATTATATAATAATCATACAGTACCACTGTTACAGTCAAATTAAATCATTCAATCAAAATCCATCTTTGCAGTGCAGAGGTGACAGAAGCGGCATCAGAAGTGGCATTAATTTATGTACACTCCATTTACAACTGCATAAATAAAGCTATGAGATATATATTTTTAAATCAATATTCAATATTTAAATATGAAATGATTTCTAATTTTAACATTTTATTTAAAGGGTACTTTAAATATGAAACCGCAGCGGCAAATCACTGTCTTAATAAGTGAGTTGAGGGAGTCATTCATTCAACCGATTCGTTCAAACGGCTGATTCATTCGGGAAAGAAGCAAGTGATTCGTTCAAAACGCGGATTTCAGTCAAGAAATCATCGCTGTGTTGCATTGAGACTCTGCTACGGTTTCATTTTGAAATTATAGTCGGCGAAATAAAGGGAAAACAAACAATATTGACAATATTGTGTCTAAAAAGTAACTCAATGTTAACTTATTGTTAATTTAACTGTTGTATAACATAAATATCACAATTGGAATCGTGCACGGGAAAACGGCACTCTTTCTGATGTGATATTCTAATATAAGAACATAATATGATTTGAATATAAGACAAAAACTAACTTGGGGACATAACAGTTACACTGCACACATCACGCAGTGAAAGCACGAGACAAATGCGATGTCGGCTCGCAGTGCCTCGTACATTGTTAAAACAATGATTGCAATATCATAAAAGACAATACACATCGCACACCATACGCACATAAAGAATGAACTTACAACTGAACTGACATTTACGACCTCTCTTCTCTTTCTCTCCTCTCGCGTGCAGGAGACAGTTATGCTGCCGCGACTCGCAAGTGACGCGAAATGTCACGTGAACTAGCAAATCCACAAAGATAGAATAATAAATAAATAAAAATACGTACGCTAATTAGATGGTTTTAATTTGGAAAGCTTTTAGATATGTCTAAGTCAAAGTGTCATCTAAAATTTAAGACCTTTCATAAGTAAAAATAAGACTTTATAAGACTTTTTATGGCCTTAAATTTTAAAAATCTAATTTAAGACTTTTTAAGACTTTTTAAGGATCCGCGGGAACCCTGTAAAGGAAAAAGTCTTCTTCATGGTGCTCCTAAAATACAGAAAAAGAGACAAAGAGTTTAGAAATCTTCATTCTTATTGAGCAAAAACGTCACTTTCTCAATTCTACTGATGTAAACAAACAGGTGCAAAAGATGGAGCGAGCAAAATAAATTATGTTCAGAATTGTTCACAAGAGAATGAAAGATGTACCTGGTAGAGCAGCCCCATAGTGGCTGATGTGGGAGGAATGACGTTGTTGACAAAGAAGAAGAGGGCATCTTCGGCCCTCAAGTGGATCCTTTTCCGAATGAGGAAGTAGAACTGTCCCACTTTAAAAACAAGACAATGTGTCAATATCCTACATATTTTAATACCATTCAATATTGAGCAAATTAATCCGTAATTTACAAGAAAATTAACCTGTGAGGTCAGAAGGGACAAGATATTTCTTCTTGTCCAGATCTCCTATTCTGGCTTTGGGAGCTTTCTCAACGATCACCTGTGGAAAACAAATCAGTGATGATGATAAAAAAATAACCAGTCAGTCATGTGAGAACAATTGCATCTTTCAGTAGTATAATATCAAGGGTATTCCCCGGTTTAGGGCTCCATTCTGACTAACACATGTCCCCACTGATATTTTACTGAGGACACATAATGTAACTGAAAATTAACCCAGTGCGACGCCACATGGTAATACGTCAGAAAACTTCATGTTCTAGGCATTTTGTCATTGACTCTGTCATAACAACAAGGTTCATTTGAATGATTCAATATCATGTGCGAAAAAATTAAAATAAAATAATGTGAGGGATACAAAGCAGTTTACCGGCTCTCTATTTATGATGTTTAATACCTTGATGATTATCAAATGTCACAAATATTTAAACCTATATTATATATTCTCATAAAAAGATATGAATTATTCTATTACTTGTAACTTTAAACGATGCCACAATTTCCAATTAAGACAGAAGCTAACTGACGCTAACGCTAGTCCTTTCATATTTGAAGGACAGCTTAAAAAATATCGATGACAATTCATTAATTAATCGTATATATACACTATTTCGTGTTTTTAACTATTTTCCCACGGTTTCTCCATACAAATTAGCGTTGTCACTATGTTATTCCTCGATAGGTTTACGCTCTCTGTACAAGCAGGGCCCAGACAAAAACAACTCATTTGTCTGACTCACAGGCACTCTGTCCGGGTACTTCTTTCTGATTTTCTCCCCCTCGGACCGTCGCTTCTCAAAGGGATGTTCTTCTTTGTACATGAACTTCATTGTCAAGGGCTGGGAGATGTTAAAAATATCCAAGAAAACCTGCCGTCGACGGTGTTTACAAACTAGCTTAGGTTTTTTTGACAACTGCGTCGGAGGGCGGAGGGATATCCAATAACAAGGACCAAGGGAGGCGGCGCACGTCACATCACGTCAGCTGCGTAATGACGTCCTCAGCAGCCAGGAGGCCTACGTGGCATTACCTGAAATCTAAACGGTTAAAACAAAACAAAACAAAAAACAAAATGTTAAAGTAACTCAACATGCTTTGTGCTGTAAGGAAAATTAGCATACCGAATGTGATGCGGTCTACATCACAGGTGGCCTGGCCTAGTAATAAAAAAGGTTAAAGGTTAAAATCATGCAAGACTTGATTCATGTCCTCCTCAGGCTGATCAAAAAAAGACTGATGAGTGCTTTGGATAGAAATGCAAGATACATTTGATAAATTATCCATTAGAAACCACAGACTAGTTTTAAGTTAAATCAAAACTACTGGTATTCATCCACTCACCCATCTTTGTAGGGAAAGCCTGCTTTGCTTACAGTCAACTCCCTCTCGTATGGGGACACGGGAGAGGGTTATTTAGGTAAAAATGGACAAGATATCAAACCCATGCCATTTGAATAAAACCTTAGGTTATGAGTGGGACGCGTGCCTCACAAAGCTATTCAAAATCCTACACTTTTAAGTTATCTGAAAAGTTTATGCACTAAAATAATTTGGTTTCATTGTTACATTGTCTTATGCTTACACACGACTGGGAAAAACCGCAGGTTCCGAGTATGATGGACTATCATAAAACCATTTACTAAAATCATTCCAAAGTAAAACCAATGCCTATATTATGAAAAAGGCATTGACTACCAAGCCACCCAGACACTGTCTAGAAATAGTCATGGTTCAAAATTATTTGGAGGCAAGCCACAAAGCCACAGTGAAGGCAACAATTACTTTGACGATGTCTCAGATTTTAGCTGTAAGTGGAGCAATGATGCATCAGTTAACCATCATGAGGTCTGCATAACACTAATTGTATTGAAGGGTGGCATAAAAGAAGCCACATAAAACAAGTAGCACATGTGGAGATGAAGATGACCTGCTAAAAAAACACAATATTTATCCTGTTGTGACGGGTCAGACGAGACCAAGAGGTTTTTGACCAAATTCAAAGAATTGTGTTGTGTAAATCCAGCATTGCCCACACTTTAAATTCATGAAACACAAGCAGAATACATTTCTGTGTAAATTATTCATAAAGCCATTCTTTTGTAAATTGCTCCACTGGATTAACTTGTACAAGAATGGTTTGATATATGATTTACACCAAAATATGTTTTGCTTGTACTTCATAATGATTGGTAGTGAAGCATTATTCTATTTCATCTGCAGGAACTGATCATCTCATTAAAATAATGGACAGAACCTGTTTTTCAGTCTGCTAAAATATGAAGCTATTTCATGTATACAAGTTATCCAATTCAATTCAATAAAAAAAAAAAATTAGTGCTCAAGTGTATAATCTGAAAAACCTGAAAGAAATTAATTTGGAAGAATGGGCCACATCCATTATTTATTGTGTGAAAAGTGGTACAAATCTCTAACTGCTTAAGTTTAAAATATTGAATCATCTCTTTACTTAACATATGACATTTGACGTTATGAAAGTAGCAGCAGATGGTTTCTTCTCTATTGTGTCATACATCCAAGTGTAACTGATTATCAGAAAAGAAATAAATGAAGGTGGGGTCTTGGTTCTATCCATCATTTGTTGATTGGATGAAGGCAGTTCTGAGTGTGAACTTCTGGTTGATTTAAAAAAAGGGGCGGGTTGTGAGCAGACTAAATTATTTGATAAGACCGGCATACGATCGTCGGAAGATCGAGTTATTATATTTGAATTAAAAAAAGAAAAGAAAAATGCATTAATTGTTCACAATAAGATACATTTTGAAAATAGGGTGAATTTTCATTTCATGCAGACTTCATTTTGGAGTTTCTGTGCTTTGAAATCAAAATATCAGACAGAACGAAATATAAACTAGGATAGATAATAATTCAGTACAATTAAAATTGAGTTAAGAGTCTGAATACTTCACTGTAAATAGTTCAGCCAATTTAAAATGTAGAGTACCCCAAAAAGTGGAAGAGACTGTCATTTCGGTTGTTGACAAAAGGCTCTATTTTATTTTTCTGTTATAGCAGAGTCCTTGTTGCTCAGTGTCTTTCTCTCAGTGGCTGATGTATCCATATCGAGGAGCATCTAAACATGTGTCCTCGAAATATATGGTAAAACCTCTCAGATTTAACCAGACGTTCTACATATGAGCCATTTTTAAATACACAGAAAATTAATACCATAAGCAGTAATAATGGACTGTAGTTTTCTCTCCTGCTAGTTATCTCTACCACAGCATACTATTAGTACAACGGTATTAACAGCTCTCAGCTCTTAACATAGAGAAGAGGACCAGATACCTGAGATGGCAGACAGCAAAAAACTAAAATAAAAAGAGAGGAAGGACAGAAGCTTAGAGAGAGAGAATGAGTGGATAAGACCATGTGACCATTTGTCAGGTACAGGTCATACAAAACAACAAACACAGACCTTTAGGAAGGGGGAATAAGTGCAAATGAAGTGTGGAAAGTGACAGGTCGTTACAACTGATTAACTGATTCTTTATTTACCCCCCCAAAAAATGAAAGGTAAAATTGGAATCAGAAGCTTTCTCCCCAATTCACTCAGAAACACTCCAACATGCACACGCAAAATCCAACAAATAAGGCAGTTTCCATTTCTTTAGGAAAACAAAATACAAGAAAAAAATGCTGGCCTCTCAATATGAGTTTATGTGTAATAGCTTCTCCATCATGTGTCTCTCTCTCCTTTATGTTCTCCCATGTCTTCTCAAAGCATTTCCTCAGAGGAGTCCATGAGACTAATGGGAGCTCACATGATGACAAGAGGCTGACAACTCCAGCGCAGGAGAGGCTAAAACCTAGCAGGCAGAGCCAAGTAAAAAAAAACCACGGCGACCAGAAGAGAGACTGGCCCTGACAGATACGATCACCAGAGCCGATGCTGGTGGAGATTTCGACTGAGGACGGAGCGAACATCTGAGGTAAACCTAGAAAGGGAACGAAAACACACTAAGGGCAGCTTACTGAAACAGGAACAGTAACATTATTCCCCGGTTTCACAGACAAGGCTTAAGCCTAGTCCCAGACTAAAATGCATTATTGAGCTGTTTCAACTGAAAGCAACGTGCACTGACATATCCTAAAATATGTCAGTGTCATTGTTTTGTCTAAGGATGCAAAGCAGTAATTTTAAGGCATGTTTATAAAAGCTACTTAAATGTCACAATTAAACTAAGGCCTAATCCTGGCTTAATCTAAGCCCCGTCTGTGAAACCAGGCCAAAATGTGACAAATGAAAGAGCAGTTTGATATTAGTAAGAAACAGAAAGATTTGAGGATGACATAGTTGTCATGTGCAAAAAATCCCAAACACTTTCTCTTCTGTTCTGCAGAGAAATAAAGAAACAAACCTGTGGTGTAGAAAAGAAAATTTGAAAACAATTTCTTGTTTCTGTTGTAGTAATGCCTATTGCTTGCCTCCTAGCTCTTATATTCATAATGTTATTTCTATATTTTATATATAATACAAGATTAAATCAAGAAAAGCCCCCAAAAGAATATTAATTTTAAAGTTTTAAAAGTATGTATATTGTTTATTTTATTTCCTTATCATTAAACATTAGCACAAATCAGTCCATTTCCCAATTCACTTTTAAAATGAATTTAAATATGGTACAAATATTAAATGAGGGCACTATAATCTTATTAGTAGCTGAAAACATTGTAAAAATGTCCAAATTATGTAATAAACTAATAAAATACACAGGGAGTCGGATATGTGTAGAAATTTGCTAACAAAGGGCGTTCAAATTTTGGCCATAAATTTTTATTGGCCATACATTTTGTGTAGGCCTAATCAAGATTAAGAGGTTACTATGACCATGACTGAAAGAAATATTCATACCTCAATGCATCCAACATTGGGAGCAGGTTAAGAAGTGCTGTGTCACTTGGGTCACTGAACCACGACTTTATAGGTATTGCATTATCTGGGGGTGAAAACAAGTTAAAATTACATTCATATTACAATTTATCACACACACAAAACAAAATTTTTTTTTTTTTTTTTTTAAATCCTGTCCGTAAACACAGGATCAGGATTACCACAATTTTAACATCAAATTTAGAAAATTAGAGTGGATGAGAATGTACTCTCATAGATGTTCCATCTCTAACCTGGGTGACTTCGATAAGCTCCAGGCGAGTTGTCCAGAATAACTATACTGGAGAGATCACTGTGTACAACAGACAGATCTTTTATGTAGCTCCCTAGATCCAAAGTGCAGTGCTGCAAAAAGTGGGAAAGAGAGAATGAGACCCAGAGGTTCAGTAATTGAAAAAAGAGACATGAAAAGCTATTTCCTAGGCAGAATCAATCAACAAAAGTCTGTGCTGGGCGTAAGATTTGGTCATAAAATACCTTATCAAGAGCAGAGGGTTTTACCTGTCTGTAGTATCTTCTTTTGAGGATACCCCTGTTGTTATCCAGCTTATCTGCTACGGCTGATCCATATATCTCCATACTAGCTGTAAATACTACCAACTCATACCACTGACTAACCTGACATATACAAACAAGAGCACACACGCACATTAAAATATAAATAAAAAATTGTTGTAAATTGTTTGCTAATTTTCTCAATTGAGAGAGTTCACTCACCACCTCTAAAAAGAAATCGACGTGCGGCCTTTTATGGACAAAAAACCTGACTGGGTGTTTGTCTATAACCACCTGAAAAAGAAAGAAAAAGAGAGAGAGAGAGAGAGAGAGAGAGAGAGAGAGAGAGAGAGAGAGAGAGAGAGAGAGAGAGAGAGAGAGAGAGAGAGAGAGAGAGAGAGAGAGAGAGAGAAAACTTTAAAAAAGAAATCAAAATTGTACAATTACTTTAAATACATTCATTCATGCAATTTTAATAAGTTCTCATTGTTCCTTTATTGTAAATCCGCACAACCAAAAGTTTGGGGTAGGTAAAATTATTAAAAAATTTTTTGAAAGAAGTCCCTTATGGGCGGCATTTATCAAAAATACAATAAAAATAGGAATACACTGAAATATTATTACAAATTTTAACTATTTAAATGTTTATAATGTATCTATTATAATAATATAAAATGTAATTTATTCCTCATGCAAAGCTGAATTTTCAGCATTTTGAAGCATTTTTTTCAGTGTCACATGATCCTTCAGAAATCATTCTAATATGCTGATTTGAATAATGCTCTAGAAACATTTCTTATAATTATCAATGTTAAAAAAAAATATTGTGGAAACCGTGATTCAGTTTTTCGGGATTCTTTGGTGAATTGAAAGTTTAAAAGAACAGAATTTATTTGAAATAAAAATCTTTTGTAACATTATAAATCTATTTACAATCAATTTAATGCATCCTTGCTGAAGAAAAATTCATTTATAAAATTTCATAGACAGTAAAAAAGTGTGAAGTGCCTCCAGTTACAGTACAGAGTGAAATAAAACCTGCATTTCTCATAAAGCAGTTACTAAAGAAATGTAATTAACCATCCAATTTTATTGTTGGAGCAGTGTGTTTGTGTGTGTGTACCTTGAGGATAAAGTCTGGAGGTGTACCAGGCCTCACTGTAGGTCTAAGAACGCCATCATGGTGAGAGTGAATTAAAGTCTCATCCAGATCCAACACCAAGATCTTCCTCTTCACCGCATCTAAAGCAGCAAACAGTTAACATGCGCCCCACACATTGAAAAGTGTGATTCAACATCCAGAAATCAAATGAACTGTTGAAATGTTATGTCACGTCTACCAAACTCTCCTGTGCTAATATGATCTCATGTCTACAAGATATTCAACCATGAAAAGAGAGGAACTGAGACCTCTTCCACTCAGTCTCTCTAGTATATTGATATTCTTAGCTAATTCATAATACAACCACACTATTTGTAATGCACTTACAAAAAAAAAAAGAAAAAAAAAATGATTTTCTCAGTCTATTAATATTTTACAGAATGCTTTACAAGAAAATAAATTATACCCAAAGTATAAGGTACTCCTTAAAAATAAAATAAATAAATCTGTTGACTGATTTTGATACAACAGATTCTGGGTCAAAAATGAATCTTCAAAATAACTCGCAACATTGCATCCATCTGTGTGGTTAGAAGCTCCCCTAGTGGACAGAACTGCAAAAAAAAAAAAAACAGAGGTAAAGGTGAGAGAACTTACTGAGTCTGTTTCTGGAAACAGGGGAGAGAGGTAATGTGTCATAACGCACTGTTTGGTACTGGATTATCTGTGGAAGACAGAACAGTGGACAAAGACAGAGTCAATGATGCACGTGAAACAATGTAATCTTTTCCTCGCTTCCAAAATGAACACTCATATATTCAGAAAGACAGGACCGACAGAGGTCTGTCACTTTTCATTATCAATTTCTCTTTCTGATATTTTATCTTTTCCCCCTTCATCACCCTGGTGCAAAACTCAGATGAAGGCATCGTGTAGCAGACATCTATATAGTCACTCACCTAGAACGGCCCCATACTGCCACGATTGCACTATTAATACACCCCCAAAACAGCTGTCCAAAGATGTCACAGACATCACAGTGTAAGGCAAGTAGGAAAATCAGTGTACTGCTCGTATCTACTTATGTAATGTGACTTTTATTTAAAAAGTACAAATCTTTTTGTGTGATTATAATAAAACCTATCTATATGTGTAAAATGAAATTTCACTTAAATGTTGGCTGAGCAGCATTAAAGGGATAGTTCACTCAAAAATGAAAATGTTGTCATTTACTCACCCTCATGTTCCAAACCTGTATGAGTTTCTTTCTTTTGTTGAACGCAAAAGAAATTTTTAAAAATGTTGGTAACGAGACAGTTGACGGTCGCCATTGACTTTTATAGTATTGTTTTACTTACTATGGAAGTCAATGGGTGCCATCAACTGTCTGGTTACCAACATTTTTAAAATATCTTCTTTTGTGTTCAATAGAAGAAAGAAACTCATAGAGGTTTGGAACAACTTGAGGGTGAGTAAATGATGACAGAATTTTCATTTTTGGGTGAACTATCCCTTTAAGAAAATACGAATGGCAGTAGCATTAAGAACCATAAACCACAATAGACTGGGTAATTGGGCTTAGGCTAACACTCAACAAACCACTTTTGCTGGTTCACGTAGTTATGAAAACAACTCATTTTGTGTCATTTTGTGTTGTTTTTTTCAGAGGAGCCCTCAAAAGTCTTGGAACCAAATTGACTTGGATGCGGCAATTAGAACAGTTTGAAAACTCTAAAAATATCACAGTATGCCACAGTGCGTGTAGGAAATTATAGCTGTCATGAGGTTACATAATAGCTGTATTATTCCCAGCATTTATTAAGAATTAAAAACTTTATTTTATTTTTATTTATTTTTTTGCAAAAAAGTAACATTGAACAAAGCATTGAATATATCATTTTTTACATTAAGGGAAAAAACATGTATAAAAATTATTTTATTATGGGGCATCTTGTCCAATAATAACCAACTAAAAAAAAAAAGGTTTTGGATAAACATATAGGAGGGGTCCATAGTCCAATGTATTTAGGGCATTCATCATCATAAACACACTCCCCCAGGGTTACAGAGGTGCAGCTGAAGCAGGCACAATCTGAAACCTACTGTATAAAAGTTTCATTAAACGTTTTTGATACAATGAGCACGAGTTACTTCAACACAAATCAACAATTAAAGCAAAATATAACAATGCTAAAGCACTCATTTTTCTCATCATCTATTTGTATTTGTACAGATGCTACAATGGCCCAGCTGAATTGTGTATGTTTGTTTGCACTAAGGGGAGGGCAATACAATCTATTTTACAGCTCAGTAAATATATTCTCGATTGCAAGAATCTTCAAGTGTTACAGTAAAACTATAGGACTTGTTACCCTTAGGAATTAGTGCACGACAACAATATCAGTCAACTAAATAGCCTAAGTGTTACAAAGTTTCAAACATATCAGCAATACAAGTAGCTGATCTCTTGAATATTATTTGAAGACAGGCGCTCTTAAATAAAGCAAAACAGATTATTTAGAGGTGACAGGTCGGGATATAAAGAGAGCAGATAAACATGCATTCGCACTGACAGACAGATGTTGACACGCTCACCGTTCTTAGATGCTTCCTGAGGATGTATAAAATGAAACTCCATATTCTAGACGTCACTCCAAGGAAGGTGCGAATCCCGAGTAAACACTGACGTGTCTTCAACATCCTGACAGTCGATGAACGGCGCGACGGAGAATCATAGAAGAGACTGGCACCATCCACTAGAGACCAATGACTTCAGAAGAGCTGGAACTACGGCTACAGCTAATCAGGTCGGCTAACCACTTCCCGCCGCTTCTTTGCTTTAAAAGCAACGCAAGCGACGCGAGCCGACCTAGAGAAAGCAGAGACTCTGCTGCACTTGGACCAGCAAGTGTCACAAAACTGCTAAAATGTCAAACGTCTGCCACGCACACAAACAAACCTCTGCGACCACAGGCTAGCTGGACTTGTATTTCATTGGCAAGGCAGCTAGCTCTGGATCTGGCGAGCTCTACAGCAAATTATCCCTCCTCGGATCGACGACTCTTGTGGTTGACAGGTTAGATGTTAATCTCAAGATTTCAGACAAATGGCCAAGTGTGCAAAAAGTCCAATCAGACGCCATCAAATTCGTTTTAGTACATATCCGGGAGCAAACTGTGAGCCGCCATCAGTGCTTTGGTTTCGTCACTTCCGAGAAACAACAGACGTGTCCTCAGTGAAGCTGGGTCAAGGGAGGAAGAGTGAGGACAGGACAGGAGCTCTGGAGATGCAGACACACGAGGAGACTCATAAACTGTGGAACCATGCACTCACAGATATATCCACAAATATATTGTTAATACAACTTTAATCTGACATTATATAAGGTCAATGGGGCGAGATAATGAAACAATAAATAATAAAAACAGGAAGTTTTTATTTTTATGATGCCTCTTGTTTTGGAATTTATGGAATAGTTATGATGACATGGCAGAAACACATTGAAAAGCTGTATGTTCAAAATAAGTGGAATTCATGGATCTCCATTCTTCTCTTTTCGAAGATGCACGCATTTTTAATACATATACTCAATATAAATACACATGTTAGGCTTCCACGGTTTATGGGAAGTTTGTGACTCCATCCTCTAACATTTACCTACCCATAACAGAAAACTTTCTGCATTTTACAATTTTTAAACATAATTTAGAATGATTTATAAGCTGTTATAATCAAAGATTTCTGGTATTGGCATCCTTTTGGGACAAAGAATACCTAAACCACACACACACACACACACACACACACACACACACACACACACACACACACACACACACACACACACACACACACACACACACACACACACACACACACACACACACACACACACACACACACACACACACACACACACTAGAATAATGTATGTACCCATTATTTTTTATTTTGTGTCTTGGTTTAAAAACAGGCTTCTAGCTGCTGACTAGATTGTTGGTTTTGCTGTAATATTGATGCATTTTCTGTGCGTCTTTCTTTCTTTCTTTCTTTCTTTCTTTCTTTCTTTCTTTCTTTCTTTCTTTCTTTCTTTCTTTCTTTCTTTCTTTCTTTCTTTCTTTTTACAGTCTATGGTCCAGGAATGTGCGCTCTGGCCAGCAGGGGACAGTATTTCCAACTAAATGTGCAGCGAATCTGCAGCGGGTGTAAACCTCGTTCGCTGGTCGGGCTGGTTTCTGTTGAGAGGAGGACTGAAGGAGATCATTTTCTGGTTAGCTGTGAGTTAATATTATGCGAAAGATGCTAACCATTATTTCTAACGTTCTGAGGGGCAGCGCCAGCAGGAACGTAAGTATTTTATCCCTTTGAATCAGAATATTTCCGCTATGATTAGTAAAGGCAAATTCACGGCTGTTTTGACGGCTAACGAAGCGCAGTCGTACCATGTTGACCTTGCAGGGTACACAAGGCCCGGCTGACACCCTACTAGAGACACATTGCTGTTTAATGCGTATGTTGGTGCTGTTTATTTAACATAAACCAGTGTAGAATTTCTTTTTATTATAGATGTAAATATAGTCAGATATCACAATTATTTTGGCTAACTTGGCTAGCTGGCTAGCTAGCTGCACAGGAATGGTAACGTCTGGGAAACTGGTTTAACGTTAGTCATCAAGCTGTCATTATAATAACTTATTATAAAAGACTATAACAAATGAGATTTGAAATGTGAATATGAATATGCTGTTCATAAAAATGGTTAAGTCGTAGTCAATTGCTATAATTTTCTTTCAGTTGTAAAAGGTGACCTCAGTGAGATAGACAGTCGGTCTTTCATCATTTTCACTGACCAGTGGCAGAAGTCCAGATGGATGATGTTCTGTTTTATGCAACATTTAGTGGAAAGAAATGGAAAAAAACATGCCCTAATATACACTGTATTTTAGTATGGTTAGAAAAATATACCCTCATATATACACCAGAATCTAAGATAGGTAAGGCCGCGTCTGAGAATCTTAGTCATTTTATATATTTTTATGTATAATAAGTTTTGACACTCTGTCTGTCTGGCCTAACCTAAACGACATTAATGTCACTCAGTCCTTGTCGTTTAGGTTAGGCCAGACTGTCAACTTATTATACATAAAAATGTATAAATGACTAAGATTCTGGTGTATATGAGGGCATATTTTTCCTAAACATATTAAAATAAAGAGTGTCACCAATTTACCTCAGATACTTAAATTATATTGTAATTGATCTTAATTTGAATCCACTTTTATTTTTATACAATTAGCCAATCACTTTTTTTTTAGATTACACACCTCTATGCTCTATTGCCATAGTAGAGTTTGATATGTAGATGCTGTTTCATGTTTTGTTGTTTTTTGGGGGATTTTTCTTGCTTCCTGCATTTTCAAAGCTGATTTAACTCATGAAAAATACTCCAAATGAGCTACACGTTCATACTTTGAGATGATAAACCTTCATTAATCCCATAACTACATTATCCTAAACATGTAATAAAACATCAGAGGAATTCACAGCAGGGTCATTTTTGGTGTTTCTTTTTTTGCACTGAGCCCTGATTAATTTTTCGCCCTGGATGGTTCAAAGCTCAGAGTCAGACAGAGTCCATTCCTCTAACTGTGACCTTAAGACAGTCTAATAATAAACGATTTGTTGGCACAATAAAATGAATGGAATTTTGCAGAACAAGTCAGGCATCTTTCTTTTCCTTATAATAATTTACCTCTCATCTTCTGTCTCTTTCTCTCTCCATCAACATCTTTCTCTATTCTAATTCTCTCTCTCTCACTCACTCTCCTTCTCTTTCTCTCAATATCTCCTCCTTACTGTTCCGTGGGCTGCCTTTAAAGGGAGCCGAACTGGTATCAGAGGTAAGAGATGGTAGTTTTAGGAATGGGCTTAATGACGACATCCATCTGCTCTTTTTTCCATTTTTTTTCTTCTATCCTTGGTGGTTGTAAACATGATCATTATTATTATTTATTTATTTTTTTGCCTGAAATTATTCCATTACAACGGCTTATTATTTTTTTTAGATGATCTTTTCTTCCTCACTTATGACTTTTAGATCACCTTCTCTTCCTCATTAAGTTTCCAATCACTTGTTTGTTTCTGGCGTATTAAACATATTTTTGCTACATGCTTTTTATTGCTCATATATTGTGGCTGTTTTAGTTTGCCGTGCTGTGAGCTTGAGGGGAATAATTCTGCTCCATTTAGCCAAGCTAGTTACTTACAGCTCACATCTTACCTTTACATCTCACACACACACACACACACACACACACACACACACACACGCACGTTAAAAGCACTCCCATGGAATGGAAAGTACCCATTTTTCCTTTGCTGGTTTTAGATTTTTTTTTATGTAACAGAGGAGACATTAATTGAAACCTGTTTGAGATATGTTGTGGCTTTCTGGTATTTGTCCATGTGACCAAAAAACCAAAGTGACTGTCAGTTTCAAGAGTTGAAGTAGCGTGTATGACTGTTGACAACAGCTTTGTCAATGGATACAATTTTAGTTAAGTCTGAATAAATATGTTCAATTCATATCAGTGTGCATCTAATTTCTGAGGATAAAATTGTATATGTAGGTATCAGCATTATATTGATTTCTTTATCTTGTTTTCTAGATATTGATATCAACATTGGCCTTTGTGACCATTTGAATGTGATCTGACCAGTAGCCATCAACAGTTGTTTATTTCCTGTGAGTAGGTATAGCGTGGGTTAGCTTAGATTAGAGTTTTATTGGTTTAGTCGTTTTTGTGGTCTCTAGACACTTGACAGTCTCGTCTTGCTCCTTGGTCTTCGAGCGTTCCCTTTTTGAGGCCATCTAAGTCTGACCCTCTTGAGTGACGTGCGCCCTTCTTTTTACAGTCCTCCACTCTCCGGGCCGTTCTGCAGCTCCTGGCGGTCCAGGGCGAATATGCTAATTTGACCGCTCCACATGACCATGATCCCGACCCCCGTTCACTCTTAAAAGATCCACAACCCTGCATTCCTTCAGTTTCTCCCCCATTAACACAGAAACCTCTAAACACTTCTGTAGAATACAAAGCTTTAGGACACACCACCAGTGGCCAGTCAGGAGACTCTGGGTCATGTGATAGACTTCTGACTGATGTCGTTCCCACAGGTGCTATAGCTCAGAAAGAATGTTATGTAGAACCAGTGATGACCAGTGGTTTATCTACCTCAGAAGAATTAAGTTTGGGTCCTTCTGTTACAGTAAGAGAAAAACCCATTATTCCAATTATAGATGTTCCTCCATCACCTGCCCTAATTACAGCTAAGTTGCCTATTAACCCAGTCCCCCATGCAGCACAGTTAACCCCTGCAGTAGCTAACAGCAGCTCCGACGTAACCAGCACAGACCCCCTCACGTCCAATTGTCCCCCACCAGCCGGGAGCCTCCAGGGCCCTGATAATTCCTTCCCAGAGATCACCCACAGCCTGGCTGAAGAGACTGCCTTACCAGAGCCACAGCTTGCTGTGAGTACAGGCAGTCCCTATATTAAAATGTATATATTGTCTCTTTCATATAGCCTATACACAGCTTAACCCTCCTAATGGAGTGTTGCATGCCCCTTCCCTTTACCCAGAGCACTTACATACTTTAGAGGTTTCTTCCAACGCTTTGGCCGATGTCTCTTCGATCACTGAATCGATTTTTCTTTATTCTTTATTTTTTTTATTTGTTTCACTGTCCCTGTTGGTTACCTGAAGCAAAATAACTGTTTTGTGCACAGCAGGGTTAATAAATTAAAAATAAATAAAACCACAAAAAAATTGTTTCTTGAAATAATAATAATATTAACTGAAATTGAAATAAAGTATTAAAAAAAAGTATTTTAAACCTAATTTTATTTCAGCTAGTTGCCAAGGAAACTTCAAATTTTCATTTAAACGAAAAAGTAAAAAAAAAAATGTAATTAGTAAAAAAACAACTAATAAAAATGACCAAAAAACAATAAAATAACAAAAATTTAAATGAAAATGGAAAATATAAAAATAAAAGCTAATTCAAACTATTAATAAAAACTATTATAGTATCGCAATGATACTATAATAACACTTGTGTTCCGCATGTTGGTCCCGCATCTAATTGTGGATGAATTCCTCTTGATGTGTCAGTTTATTACATCCAAACCTGTAATCAAAGAGATGTGCAACGTTAGTGCAGATACAATGCAATGCATCTAGGCCTATGAGTTGAATGTTGATTTATTGGTATTAGATTTCAGGTCTGTTGATATGGTTGTTGAGTAAAATCACACTGTGGTGATTTAAGGTTGGATTATTACGGATATATTTCATTATGTCTGGGTTTGCTTCCTGCTTCAGACAGAGTGCTTTTGACCAGGGTTGTTAACATTTCAGTTCCTGTCAGACGTGTGTGTGTGTGTTTGTGTGTTTCCAATGGAATGCTTTTTTTGTTACCATCTTCTCTTTTTCTCAGTAGAGGTCATATATTAATTGATTTTCTATTTTTTTTATGTGTTTTATGTTTCATAGGGGGCAAGAGTGGTGGTATCTACAAGGACCTATGCTGACTTTACCCCTCAGGCCACCTTTGATATTAAGGTGAGTTTTATCAGATATTTATATATTTTAGTGCATATACACTATTTAAAAAAAGTTGGGGTCAGTAATGCATGTTACAACCCAATTTCCAGAATGACATTATATAAAATGCAATGATTTGCTAATTCTGTTGAACCTTTATTTAACTCACAAAGAAGAGATTTCTAATGTTTTCTCTGACCAATTTAATTGTATTTTGTAAACAAATTTTGATTTTAATGGCTGTAACACACTCCAAATAAGTTGGGACAGAGGCATGTTTACCATTGTGTCACTTCACCTTTCCTTTTAATTACACTTATTAAATGTTTGGAATAGAGGATAGTAATTGTTGCAGTTTTGCAGGCATAATGTTTGTTCAATCTCGCCTGATACAAGACATCTGCTCAAGTCTGTGGTCGTCGCTGTCTGATTCTCCTTTTCATGATGGGCCATACATTTTCAACAAGAGACAGATCTGGACTTCAGGCACATCCCTTCTACAGGGTAGAGTGTCTAGAAACCGTTCTGTTGTAGCACGTGCAGAATGAAGCCTGCATTGTCTTGCTTCCCAGGAAAGATGTCATCTTGATGGCAGTGTGTGTCTCTGTACAATCCCAATATACGCCTCCACGTCAATGATACCTTCACACACATGCTACCGTTTGCACTGATGTACCCCTATGCCATGACCGATGTTTGCTTTTGCACTTGTCGCTGATAAGAGTCTAGATGGTCCCTTTCGTATTTGGGACTGAGAATTCGATGTCCGTTTTTCCAGAGAACTCGGCAGCATCTCTGCGTAGTAGAACCGATGTATAGATTTCTCCTTGCGTAAAAGAGATTCAAGTTTAATTTCTCGATGCAGCAGACTGTGTTCAGTGAAATCGGTTTTCCAAAGAACTCTAGAGTCCATGTGGCTGTATTTAACACAGTAGCATGATGGATTCTCATGCAGTGCCATCTGAGGGCTTGGAGGTGACGCACAACCATCAGAGGTTTTCCTGTCTTGCCTTACACAGCCTCAGATTTCTCTGGATCCCCTAAATCTTTTCACAATATTATGTATGGTAGATGGTAAAAGACCTTAATTTTTTGCAGCCTTGCATTGAGAAATGTGATTTTTGAATTGTTTGACAATTCTCTCATGAAATTTGTCACAAAGTGGTGACGGTGAGCCATGACCCATCTCTGGTTGCAAAGACTGAATCTTTGGTGGATGCTCCTTTTATAAACAAACACGATACCCACATCTGTTACCAGTTCACTTACTTATTGCGGGCTGTTTCAAAACAGTTTAACTTGAATATTCTATAATATTTTTACTCTTAGTTTGCTTCTATCCCAACTTTTTTTGGAGTGTTGCAGCCATCAAAACCCAAATTTGTTTATATTTACAAAATACAATAAAGTTGGCCAGTGAAGACACTGGAAATCTTTTCTTTATACTTTTGTCAGTTAATTAATGGTTCAAACATCAAGCCGCAGAACCGTTTTCAACATCGATGATGATTATAAGAAATGTTTCTTGAGCACCAAATCAGTATTAGAATTCTGAAGGATTATGTGTCACTGAAGACTGGAGTAATGACCTAATACCTGTCCTAAACTTATAAATGGTATGTTACTGTACTGTGCATTTTACTGTATCGTAAATCATTTGAAAGCATGAAAATACACTTGTTTTGGTAGAAATGTGACTTGCACAAGCTGGAGGAGGGCCCACCACTGCAGGCTACGCTTACAAGAGAGGAGGGGCTTCAGTACTACCGCACAATGCAGACAATTAGACGCATGGAGCTCAAAGCCGATCAGCTCTACAAGCAGAAGATTATCAGAGGCTTCTGTCACCTTTATGATGGACAGGTGACACATACATTGCAAACACACAGACATCATCTTTGCTAGAAGAAGGCTAGTTCAAAATGATCAAGATAAATATTATGTTTTTATTTACATGGTTGAAAAAGTCATTTGTAATTGGTTTAAATGTTGACAACAAAGACTGAAACTCTTACAAGTGCATTGTGTCCTCTAACAGGAAGCGTGTGCAGTGGGTATTGAGGGAGGTATTAATCTATCAGATCATCTCATCACAGCCTACCGTGCCCATGGGTACACTCTCACTAGAGGCGGCACCGTTCGTGAGATCATGGCCGAGCTCACTGGTGAGAACAAAAAAATTGAGTAATGTAGTTAAATATTTCAGCGGCGTCTAAATTATTTTTTTCAGAAGCATTTTTCTATCTTTTTTTTCCATAATTTGTATTTTTATTTGTATTTTTTTTTGTTTTCTTTATTTTTGATCTCTACTATTTTTTCCCCATTTTCTTTAGTTCTATATTTGTTTGTTTGTATATCTATTTATTCGATTTCTATCCCTCTTCTACGTGTCTGTTTCTCCATCAGGTCGTCGAGGAGGTATTGCCAAAGGAAAGGGAGGGTCTATGCACATGTACACTAAACATTTTTATGGAGGAAATGGAATTGTGGGAGCTCAGGTATTTGAAATCAATCAATTTGAGTCTTTTTTTTAAAAGTGCTATTGTGAAGAGTTTACTAAATCAGCATTGATATCCGTGTTATTTTAGTATCATTGAGATAGAATCCACTGGCCATTGTAATACTTTTACCCCTTTGAGGAACTTGTTATTCTGTTGATAATTTTGAAAATGTTTTTAGAAAAAAAATATTTTTGAATAACTAAACCTGGGTCTCGCCATGAGCATAGCCATAGAAGCTGGCATGGCATTTCATTTAGATACTATTATAGTTATTAATAATATTTTGAATCAGTTTTTATTTTTATATTTTCTGTTTCCACTGTCATTTTTTTTTAAGTTTCTTAAAAAAAAATATATATATATATATATATATATATATATAATTTTTTTTGTTTTAGTTGCAGTTATTTTAGTACATCAAGGTAAACTAAATTAAAATGAGAAATGTTACCTTGGCAACTTGTTTAATAAAAAAAAAAAAAATTCAGTTAAAGTTTATTTTATTTCAATTAACGCAAATGTTTTAGTTTTAGAAATATTAAAAATATTAAAGAGTTTTAGTTAACTATAATAACCCTGATTTATTTACGCATATGTATCCCAGGTGCCACTTGGGGCAGGTGTAGCGTTGGCCTGCAAATACCAGGGCAATAATGAGCTGTGTGTCTGTCTCTATGGTGATGGTGCTGCAAATCAGGTAAGTCACTTCCATGCAGGTCCTAACAATCATGCGTTTACCCACTGCAAGTCCTAACAACTGATTTAGCTACTAACTAACATTTTAACACAGATCTGTCTTCTGTGCTGTCCTTGTACTGCTTACCTTACAACCATCTGAACAACTTGAAGGTTAACAGGAAGGTGTCACATACACTTTTACACTTTTTTTTTTTTTGTAGGGTCAGATCTTTGAGACGTATAATATGGCATCACTGTGGAAGCTGCCCTGCATTTTCATTTGCGAGAATAACAAATATGGCATGGGTACTTCTGTGGAGAGAGCGTCTGCTAGCACCGACTACTACAAGAGAGGCGATTTCATCCCTGGTCTGAGGGTACGATGAAGGAAGGACACGGTCATGCTTTTACTTGTCATGACGCACATAGTGCACTGAAATTATTCTCCATGTCAGAATATCTCCTTACCTGTTCTCTGGCTTTGTAGGTGGATGGCATGGATGTCCTTTGTGTGAGGGAGGCCACCAAATTTGCTGCTGAACACTGCAGATCAGGAAAGGTGAGCTCTGGTTAGAGTGATGTGCAATTGTAGGGATGGGGAAAAAAGATTATTAGCTCTGTTAGGAAGTATGATTTTTGATGATTTGTTTTATGCACAATAATTATATGGATAATTCCACATTGGCAACTTTACGACAAATGATCCACTGGTTATGAAACGTTTGTTTCAGGACCAGAAAACAAAAACATTCTTATGGGATATTAGCAGTTATGTAGCAAAAAAAATTAAATGCCTGAAATGTATAATTATAGGGTCCAATTCTGATGGAGCTGCAGACCTATCGTTACCATGGACACAGTATGAGTGACCCAGGAGTCAGGTAATATCTTCTATCATCTCAACCAAAGCTCAATATTATTACTCTGAGCACCAATGAGCACACACAGCCGTGAAACTGTTTTTGCAAAAACACACCGTTATGACACTAAACTTTTAGATACCAGTGGAAATTCACAATTCTCTATTCCAATTTTGATACCACAGCTAAAACTACTAGCTCAACTAATATACATTAAAACATTATACAACAAGTAAACAGTCAGAAATAAAATAAGTAATAGCACAAATAAATACAATAGAACAAAGAAACAAATAAAATAAACTTTTCAGGTACAGAAATTAAATAAAGCACGAATCCAGTATACTAATACTGTACGCATTCGTTTTCATTCTCAACTGTTTACGTTCACTTACTATGTTTACTAGGATACTCAACATGGAGACGATAATTTTTTGACATCATTTTGTATGAATTTGTCCATTCATGCGTAAGAAGATGTGAAACAGAGCTCAATTTAGTATTCGTTTATACTCAATTATTTGAGTTTTCTTTTGTGTCTTGCGCTTGAATATTTAAATGGACAAGGTTTAAACTTTTTAGTTTAAGGTTTAAACTAAATGCAGCACTGGCCCGTCAACTTGTTCCCAGTGTCGTTCACATTTGTTCACTTTTATGGTCTCACAACATTGCATTGTTTTAAGGTTAATCTAATTATTTTCTGATCAGTCGATTAATCCTTTAGTTAACTTACCAATAAATCTTTCAACATTTTCTCATAAAAAAAATAAATAAAAAAATACCAACATGTAAAAATAAAGTGCCAAGAATCAAAAGGCATCTATCGGTAATAAAAATGTCCATGATGGCTGCATTCATAGTCACTGTTTGGGTTTGACAGCAAGGTGTGAGTCTTGAAATGTTTCGTTCGTTCAGTAGATGAAGTATCTGCTTGAATACATATCTGTATGAACGAACAGCTGAAGTCAAAACTGCATTCAGCGACAGTATCAAAAATAGCAATGTCCATAACACTGGGAAGTTTTATCGCAATTGACAGCGTGTTATTAAATAGACGAGTCCAATTGAGGCATCAGATATTTTAAACGACCAACTATGCTCGGTGAGTGCAGAGAGTTACTTTTGAGCCGCACACCTCACAGCTCAAACCAATCTGCAGATAAACACAAATCATTTCTCCGTCTCCATGAGTAAAACAATCTGTCATGATTATACAGTTCAGTGTGGCTCTCACATTATATGATGTAACAGACAACTTGTTGTCTAATGCGGTTCTGTTCATTCAGCGCGGGTTTGTCAAGAATGCGGTTGTGAGTCCTGAAAATGTGCAGGTGTCAGTTCAGTTATAGAATGTGGTTGTCACGCAACACTTATTAAGCGGCACTGCAATACTAGCCATTCGCATCTGCTCGAGAGTTTTGTTTTGTGTGAAACATGACGGGAATTAGGGATGAACGTAAACAGCCTTTTTTCTATTAGTGCTCATATGTGCCAACTTTTGCCCTCCGTCTCCGTAGTTACCGAACACGTGAGGAGATCCAGGAGGTGCGCAGTAAGAGCGACCCCATCTCACTGCTGAAGGATCGCATGCTGAGCAACAACATGGCCAGTGTGGAGGAACTTAAGGTGAGACTGCTCGAGGTTACCAGAGAAGTAAGATACAATCATTGAGATGGTCACATGAATTTTCTGATTCAGTCTCATTGGCGAAATAAGATGGGGATTAGTGCTGCCACTAACGACTAATTTTCTAACGACTAATCTTTCGACTAATTTTTCTATTAGTCGACTAATCTAATGGCGCTTTTCCACTACACAGTACCGGCTCGGCTCGGCTCGACTCGACTCGACTCGCCTTTGTTTGGTTTTCCACTGTGTAAAAGTTGTACCTGTACCTGCTACTATTAGTTGTACCTGTGCCTGCTACTGTACCTGTACCTGGTACTATTTGTGGCGGTACTTTCTGCAATGGAAAACGGAGCGAAAAGCGAGCCGAGTCGAGGCGAGCCAAGGCGAGTCGAGTCGAGTCGAGCTGGTACTGGTAATGGAAAAGCGCCATAAACGACTAATTAAAAAAAATCAAGTGTTTATTTCGTTGTGTCCATTTTATTTTGAACTCAACTGAAGGGCCAAAACATAAAATGTCACCTGTTCAAAAACATTATGTATTAACAATCTAAGCATTAAGTATCTGCATTTCCATTAGGCTATACCATATTAGTCAGAGTCCTAATCTAATCCTCTAATAACAAACATGTATGTATTACTTAAATTAGCTCTTTGTTCTGCCTTAAAAAATGTACAGTAAGCTAATAATGATTAATTTATGTACATTTCTGAAAAGCATAACTGATAACATCACTCTGAATAGTAAAGTAGATGCAATGCATTTTCTGTGAAAAGCCCTATACAAATAAATTGGAATTGAATTGAAAGAGTCTGGACTAGCCCACTATGAGTCGCGCTGAAAGCAGGCAGGCACGCAGTTATGTAGCTCGCGTTTACACTTGCGTGCATGGCGGGCCCGTGCCGCGGTTCGCGTGAATGTGAAAGCAACACGGACTCGGGAGCGCTTGTTCAGGAAGTTAAGTAACCTGCCCATGCGTTGTAGCTGATTATGATGCATTTAGTTAAATAAAACACATGTAAGGGATGATAGTGTTGATGATTTACCTTGGATACGTGAGAGTTGAGTCTGCAGTGTATTCGCACATTGCGCATGCAATCAGGGCAACACATTTGGAAATCCACTGTCTCCTCAAAAGAGACCGTTTGAAAAACACAATATATTGACCCGCGTTCTGTTTTCTATCATGCGCCGTGCACGTTTGCGATGGCATAAGATGCACGCAAACTCAACAGGGTTCGATAGAATTGAGTGTGAAACCAGACCAACGCTGCGGGGGCGCCGGGAACAATCGCGCTCGGACTCGGACCGCAGCAAACGAGCCCACTGTGAAAGCTCCGTCACCTGCCTCCGCAATTTTTCATATCAAAGCAGTGAAGGCGGGCGGGAACGTGAAGGAAAATGATAGCAGATAAACCAGCAGGGCACGCACGGCGCACAGACTGGTGTGTGGAGGTGAATTACAGTGAGCCGTTTGTGACGGGAGACCAAAAATAAATAGCGGTCAATAGTAAAACGACACGTCGACTAAAAAAATTGCCGTCGACTAATTTGCATGGTCGATTACGTCGACTAAGTCGACTAATCGCGGCAGCACTAATGGGGATTACTCAGTAATACTTAAGAATGTGAAGCATGGACATTTCTGCAGTTTCACTAAACACTGACACCTTTCGCAGGAGATTGATGTTGAAGTAAGGAAGGAGATTGAGGATGGCGCTCAGTTTTCCACCACAGACCCTGAGCCTCCACTGGACGATCTTTGCAACCACATCTTCTTCAATAACCCACCTTTGGAAGTGCGTGGCACCAACCCCTGGACCAAACTCAAGTCCGTCAGCTAAATCGCCTTCCTTATCATCCCAAGTCCCCTCCACTTCCTACCAGTTGACCCTCTCTTGAAGCGCACAGCAAAAATTGTCACCTCCAATATGGCTATAGGTTTCATAGACAGTTGTTGGGAAACTCAGCCACATTGAGACAAGTTGCCTCATTTTACATTTTATCATTACCTTGTTTTCTTGTTGTCTCCATCAGTTACAATACTGACCTTCACTATACATTTTAAAAGGTTTCAATACTAAACAAAAAATGCTATATTTTTTCTCACATAACATCTCAGAAATAGCATGTAATGTGAATAAACATGGTGGTATTTGGCTTATAATTATTGGTACTTTCCAAATGTTTCCAGTGCAACTATTGCCTATACCCAGTGCCCACGCAATGACAGCATTTACCTAGTGTCCATGGCATGCATCAGAAACACCTCCCATCGTTGCTCTGTGCAGTCATTACAGACATGCGCTCATACACACACACACTTTATGTATCAGCAGAACGTGTTTTGGCCGAGGTGTCAGTGAAATGCAAGTCTTGCAGTCCTAACTTGACAAAACATTTTAAGGGAAAATGTATTAACATTGATAAAATGTAAATCTGTTAGAAGGCCATACTACAAAATCTTTGTGTAATATTCATGGGGTGTAAAATGGGATTTTTTCTTTTCTGTCATATCTAAACACTAGTTTAAGTGTTTAAATACAAAAAGTAGAATGGGAAAAGGTTAATAAGTTCTTACATTTGCTTTAACTCTCCTTAACTTTTATTTAAAACAGGGTTTTGTTGTCACATATTTATTATAAAAAAATGCTTTTGTTACAAACAGCGTTACAGGGGGTATAACTTCAAATTTGACGATTCCAGTTTATTAATGGTTGTATTAATAGAATGTTAATTTAAAATCACTCAGAATTGGGAAAGTAATAATTGTTTCAATAGATGATAGGATGCTGTTGAGCTATTGAAGGGGGCATTAGGGACACAGGTTAAACAATTATGAAGTGTTGACCAGCAGGATGAGTCGTCAAAAACATCAGGCAATGTATCCAATGTGGTTTTTATACCATGAAACTACAAATAAATATTTCAAATACCATTTTTGTGTGATTGGATTATGTTGTTCTACCACAGACACAGTTGTGGATACAGGCCTTAATCCTACAAAGCCCACTGTATCATATTTGATACATTAATTTCTAAATGATCAACATGGTCAAACATTGCTGAAAAACCTGTTGCACAAAATGTACCTGCTTTCTGATTGATGGTTTATATGTTTTTAGTAAGTAAAAGGCCTTTTAGTATAATACAAAAAATGTCCACCTTTAGGTCATGGTAAACTGTCTTTTTACCATAAAATCTTTATATTTAATATATTTTTAGGGACATTTTGCTAAAAATATATGTATTGTATACATCTTTTTTAAGAAAGGTTTACTTGTCTCTCAATCATTATTGTATTGCAGTGTATTGGTTTGTCTCCCACAATTAAAACTAAAAACTTTTGATCATAAACTTAGACTTTTGACATATTAATGGAATATATAGAGTAACAACTGAAGTAGTCTGCTGTACTGATTTAAAAATCCCATTGATTTACACTACAAATTCATCTGAATTTCCTCATATATTCTATTTATAAGTTCAATCATATCAATTTACATACAGTATGTTTAGTTCAGTTTAGGATTTGAAGTGAATTTTTCCCCATCTCGAGTATGAGATATGAGTATATATACATATATATATATATATATATATAGTTTAAACTGTTTCATTTTTAAAACAATTGGGGGGGACCTCACCAGCCATTAGTAGCCTACTCAAAGGGACCATGACAAAATGATTAAATATTTTCATTTAATGTGGCATGTGAACACGAGGTGAGCACTTTAATTTATAGGATGAAGCTTCTTTTGCATTTTATCCCGTGCTATGGATGATCGTCACACTAAAAATAACTATTTGGAGAAATGGGTCACAAGTAAACTGGGTCTCATGAAAAAAAAAGAGCGAAAATAAAGCACAATCCTCAAATCAGCTTTATTCTAAACCCTCTGGTACAGCTGGATGAGTGTTTTAGCAGCTGTGGTGTTGTGATTCTCTTCCCTCTGCAGTGTTTTTGATTGTGCACTTAATTTATTGTCACGTGTGTTTTTCTTATGAGGGACTGAATAAATGAAAACGTGGATTCTACGTAGGGAAAAGAGATTTCAAAAGATTTAATAATCAAAGGATTTAGAGACAGAATGTTCTACATGATCATCAAAAATAAATCACAAATATGCTCCAATGTGATTCACACTGAGTTGTTCAGAAAAGCAGTCAAGATGAGTTTAAAGGCTCTGAACAGGCATATGATAAATGCATTTAATATCTCAAATCAAAATACTACTAAGCATTCATTCCTCGACTCAATTAAACTTTACCTGAGTAATACCAATGTGCAGGGTCGGTACCAGCGGGTGGCCACGGTGTCCCTCGCTCTATGACGCATGATGACGTATCCTCCTCCTCTCCAGCCTCGTTCTGACAGACAGGTGAACGGGGCGACGACGCCATGTTGAGCGAAAACGGAAGTGTATTACTCTGCTGTTAAAACATATTTCGAATGTTTGTGAAGAGGAACCGGACACTTTAGCAGTAAAACAAACTGCCTTGGAGGCATTTGAACGGATATTCCTCTTTAATTTACGTGCCAGAAAAGGACCGTTCTTTTTGTGGGACTCTTTTGTGCAACTTTACACTGACTGACAGCGTCAAATCACTTCACGGGGTGATCGTAAGTGAAAGATCGGGACTTAAAGATGCCACTGGCACAGTTTGCAGACCCCTGGCAGAAGCTGCCCGTGGGGCATATGGAGAATGAGGTAACGTTAGGTTATTTTACGTTTTCGACATTGCTATTATATGAACTCACGTTTAATCCGATGCTTCGAGTTACATGGGAATGTCAGTGTTCAGTCTTGAAGTGCATATTTGGACTAACGTTAGTAGTTTACAGATTGGTAAAAAAAAAAGTTTGCGTTTCAGAATGTCGCTACTTTTCAAACACATAACTGAATGCAGAAAAGTGCGCGCTTAATAGTTAATACGCCGACATTAAAATGCAACAAAATGTTACAATCGAAATGACGTGTGTCCTTTAACTCTTAACGTAGAAATTTCATTGGACCAAAGTGCCTAGTTACTTGGTAAAGCTAGAGAATGTGTAAGCCGTCGAAGCAAGACTTGACCAGACAAGCACAGTATGAGTGTTTGTGTGTCTGTCTGTCTGTTTGTTCGATGTAACGTTAAGTTGACTTGCTTCATTCTTACTTAAAATGGACCCGTGTTTGCCTTTTTGTAAGTGGTTGAAGTTTGACTTGAGTATGCATTGGGCAATAAACTCAGGGTGGGGAACTTACTTCTCGTATACAGACGGACAGGCTGTTTCTCATAACCCAGTGAGCTGCCTACATACCTAGACAGCATTTTTGGGCGTCACAGGCTAGTAGTATAACAATGTCAACATGCTATAAATGTGAAAAAATACAAGTTTACGATACCCCAAATTCTGTCTCGGAAGGTAGATGGCCCATTAGCTTTTGACATATAGTCAGTGTGTTACTTGGATTATGAAACAACAACCTAATGGCATTTTTGTATTCTGGACCTGGGGTCATTTCTTTAAAGGGGACCTATGCAAAATTCTCTTTTACATGGTGTTTGAAGCTTTGAACATAAATGTATGTCGGCAGTGTGTGTACATAGCCACCCTATAATGGTAAAAATCCACCCACTCCTCTTTTTTTAATCCCCATTAATCATAAGCAGTGTCTCAGAACAAGCCATTTGCAGTTTCTGTGCAATGTGACGTCACATCGTGTAGGCCCCGCCCATGACTGCTAACAGACTCTGCCCTATTAGCATAGACACCGCCCTGAGTGAGCTGTACACGTCCACCATGTTTATTAGGGGTGTGCAAAAAAATCGATTCACATTTGAATCGCAATTCAATCTTTACCAAATCAGAATCGATTCATAGAATTCAAAAAATCGATTCATATTTTTTTTTTAATGGCTTGTACGGGCGGAGTGGCAATCGGGTGAGTCGGGACTTTTACTGGTGATCCGGTAGTGTTTCGAGGCCGCGAGGATAAATAGTCTGATAAATAGTTACATTGCAAGTTCTTGCCGCCCGCTGGTCAAACTGTGCAGCCTCTCTGCTCAACCCGTAAATAAATGCATCGATCCGCAGATCTTATGTTTGAGTTCTGTAGATCTTTTGCCAAGCGTGTCAGAGGTTATGGGTTCTAAACCGCACTCGTATAGTTTTTTCTCTCTCTCATCAAAACCGAATATGTTCATCACGTTTGTGTGCATTTTATTTTGCGATTTCACCGGAGTCTCCACAACGGCGATATGAAGCGCGCGTCCGAGGGAATACTGCGCGAGCCACAGAGAACACTGTATCCATGACACATACCAGCGGCAACGAGCGCTCAGCTTGATTTCAAAAACAACAGATCTCTTATTTAATAGTGAACTAAATGAATGCTCTGCTAGTTAACTGGAGATACCCGCAAAATACGCCTATGAACGACTTCACTGGATCTAAACAAATCAATCTAACCCTAGATGTTACCAGTAGCGGTGGCTTTTTTAAATCTATTTAAAATAATTTCGCAAGGGTTCTATGACATTAGTATATATTTTTAGGAAGTTCAATGTGCCCAGTCGAGTTCACATTTCAACAGTCAACCTGGTAGCTGAAGTACTCCTTAAACCACATTTAGCATAATTGTTTGTTTGATCTGACTACAGCACTTTAAAGCTAAATGTAAAAGCTTTTTATTTAAGTTTTATTTTAAACTTGAATTAAATGTATTTGAAAGCTGGCCAAAGCTTGGCACTTTGCACTTTTTAGTTGCAAAAGTTTTTATTTTTGTATGAAGACATATAAAGTAATATCAAACTACATTTAATTTGTTGTGTTTTTTTTCTTTTAAATTGTGTCTACAGCAATCAATCACATAGGAAAAAGTAAACTACATTTATATACTGCGAATCGTTTTTTGAATCGAGAATCGTTTTTGAATCGAATCTTGAGACAAAAAAACGGTATTGAATCGTGCACCCCTAATGTTTATCTTCTTGCCAGAGCATTTAACAGCAGCATTCAAGTATGTAAATGAGGGATGCTAACAATTAATCGACAATCGATTAATTGTCGATAATAATTAAATCGATAAAACTTCGATTCAAGGTCATGTGCAGCCCATGCGTGCTGCTCAACCGCGAAACACGCAAAGCAGACACAAGGAAAAATGAAGTGAGTGTGTCGGAGTTATGTTTGGGACTATTTTACGTTACAAGGCTAGAGTTACACCTTCATGACAAAGTTTGCGTGCAGCACTCGCAGCTCAAACAGCAATGCACAACTAATAATAACTAGGGATGCACGATGATATCGGGACAACATCGGTATCGGCCGATAAAAGCTTAAAATGACCATCATCGGCATCGGCAGATATGAATATTACTGTCGATGAGCCTTGCCGATAGGGTGGCGTGTTTCCTATGCGCACGTGAAGACCGTGAACGAAGCATGAGCACCAGTAACTTAAACTTCCAACTAGGGCTGTGCGATAACCATGGTTTTTGATTGTGGACGATTAAAATGTCTCCACGATCTGCTTTTGAAGAAATATCGTAGTATCGTGCATTCTATCAGTTAAATCCTGGCGCCTTGGGACTGCTAGTGTTGCGGAGCGGGCGTGTTACGGATACGTGGTGTAAATTTTTTAGCAATCAAAAAGCATGTCTAATTAATTGAAATAGTGTATTATGAATCATTAAACGTATACAACATTTAAAAAATTATTCACACTAATTCTGTGTTGTGTTTTTTAATAAAATGAAGACATAAAACACAAATTTTATCATTTATCATCAATTTTAATCATATGAAATTAAATAAACTTTTTGTCAAATAACGTGCTGCACAATGAGCTTTACTGTTAAAATTAAAACATGGATTATTCCTTAAATTCAGTTTTGATGATAATTTATTTGGATTAGTGTTAGTATTTTTACATTGGGACATATCTAAATTCTACTGTACAACGGTAATATATTTCTGTCAAGTTAAACCGAACTTTTATTTTGACGGGTTGCCGTGAAGACCTTTTGAGTTTGTGTGTTTGTCATAATGATAGTTTTTCTCAAATGAAGCGGTTAAATGATCACGAAGTGACTTTCGGAGTGGATCTAGAGCCTGGAGAGGAAGTTTATGCATTTGTGTCTTTATATAGGCAAAAAACAGCGCAAGCGTCACACGTGCTTCAGTGTGTGTGTGTGTGTTAAATGAAACTGCGCGTCGGCTGCACCATTTATTCACACAGAACAAGCAGGATTCGTATTTAAATTGTCTTTGTGGTTTAATATCCACACTTGTCTACATCGCGATTTGATTTCAAGTGTATACTGAACTGCTTTCTATTTATTCCTCAAAAGATTGACAAATTCCATGAAATTCCGTGTTATACAGTAAATTTATTTTTTATGACTGGATTTCGTCAGCAATTTAGGGGGGGCGGGGGGTCGTTTCCCCCCAAAACAATGGTAGGGGAAACACTGCTGCTAATAGTAAATATGCTGCCGCTTGTCATTAAAGAGAGAGTTCACCCAGAAATAAAAATTCTGTCATCAGGGCTCCAGACTAATTTTTTGCCTTGGTTGCACTGGTGCGCCTAACTTTTTTATTTAGGTGCACCAGCACAAAATTTAGGTGCACCCAAATGTTTCCTCGGCTCGCGTCGCCTTTAACGCCACAATTTCAAGCTCAGCTTTTTATCATGCTCCATATACATGCATATATATTATGTAAATGATTTTAAACAAGAACAAGGTGTAGGTAAATACTTTTTTTTAATTTGAAGCACAATTATATTGTATACAAAAAAAAAATGTGTGCTTCACTGAGCTGCCAAACTAACTATTTTGAGTCTCTAGCTCAGGCTCGGTAGGCTCACCGAGGAAGGACCAGGGCTTGGCATCTTACAGGGACTGGGGAGACGGGTGGCTGAAGTAGCTCCATGTCTGGGCTGTTGTCGGAGCATTGACCGGGGAGTAGGGATGGGTATCCATAAGGTTTTAACGGTATTACTACTCTTACCGATACTCCTTAGCGATCCGGTACTTTAACAGTATTCTTATCGGTTCTTTTTGTTTTATAAACAAAGATAAACAATTAAACAAAGATGCACATTATATAGGCCTACACAGTGCTTTAATTTCAGGAAGGTCTACTAACATTAGCTACTGTTCAAGTATGGTCTAAAAAGAAATCTAATAAAGTAATCAAATGTAAAATAACACTGCATATTTTATCATAGATAGATAATGCTTATTAAAGCTGAAGTTATTAATTCAAGAGCTGTGAATACAAGCCGGTCATTTTGACATATTTTTGTGTACATTTGATAGTTTAGACACGCACATGAAACCCAAAGTATAATTTGCTTGTCTCGTTAAGTTCTGTTTTTAGAGCGCGCGTCGCCTTGGGAACAGCATCTCTTGTGCAGACTTTTGTGCTTTTAATAGCTCTTTTTATTATTAAATGCGTCCCGCAATTTAGCAACAGTAGCTGGACTGCATTTTACAACAATCACGAGCTGATTCTGTCGTTAAGTTTGAGTTTTAGGGAGAAGTGACAGCGCACTGCTGCGAATGGAAGGAAGCTGCGCCAGACCGAATGTGTCTGTAGTTTTTAATGGTTTTACCTCAATATATTTTTTTATAATCTTTGGAAGCCGAAATCTAAAACAAAATCAGACTAATATCACAGACCTAAAGTGTAACCAGGCTACGTTTGAATGTTTAGTTC